CAAAAATACAGACATTTCGGATACAGCTCAACTGGCAGTAGTCGTTCGTGGAGTAAATGAATCATTTTAAATAGCTGAACATTTTTTAAAATGTATAAGTTTGAAAGGCAATAAAAATATGAAGATATTTTACACGCTGTTGAGAACTGTTAAATTATTTTTATACGAATCACAATTTTAATTAATTTTTTTTTTTTTTAATAAAATGCTTAACACTTAAAATTGATAAACGAATTGAAAAAATCAAAACACATGAATTACATTAAACATACAAAAGAAATAGGAAAACTTATGGCTGCTTTTTATAGTCGTTTCACTAATTCAGATAAATGCAAAAAAATATTTGAATTATATTCATCTTTTTTCTATATTGATGTCAAGTTTGTCGTAGAATATATTCAAATGGAACTGATTGACTTCCATTAGGATAATGATTTAAAACACATTTTTGAGATGTCAAAATTAAAAATAGATTTTTATAATATCAAAGTCATAAAACAAAAATTTTCCATGCCTTCCAACCTGTGAAATTATTATGTATGTCCAAAGTGGCACACAAGTAGGGTTGCCATACGTCCCGGGAAACCGGGATTGTCATCGATTTTGAACTTCGTGTCCCGGTGTCCCGAAAAATATTTTCAGGACGTTCTTATGTTCCGGCTTAGACTTTTAGAGAAAATATAGAATTGTTTAATTTTTGATTCTGACGAATTTAATTGATTAACAATATATAATAAAACAATTATTTGTAATTTATACATAAATATATAATATATTTTATTTTACAAATACACTTATTTTAAAATATTACATTGCCATTAATGTGTTTGTTTTTTCCTTATTTCGCCTTATAAATTTATGACAACCCTATATACAAGATGAGCCCCCCTTTAGACTATTGTTAATTTTGATATAACTTTAAGTAAATACTAATTTAAATATATTGATATCAAAACTTTACATATTATTATTAGCATGGTTATTCTATCCGCATTAAAACAATCATGCAGAGAGATAAATATAAACAAAATACATTAAAATTTAATTTAATATTCAAATAAACAATAATTGAAAGTCAATGAAACAAAATACAACCGATAAAAACTGATTATAAATTTCAAATTTAACTGAGGCATAGGTATTACATTAATTGTTTATATTATCCATCGATGGCTTCAATATGAAAAATATTATAACGAAGAAAGATAATTAAACTAAAAACCGGATTTTGCATAAAATGCATGTTGCTATTTTCAACATCATATACAACGAGTCTACGAGTCTTTAGTTATAAATTATAACTAAAGACCGGATATAATTGTTTTAAAAATATCTTAAAATTGCACTAAAAAGATGCCAACATTGCAATGAAAATTTATCAAAATTCCAATATAAATATGTTAAAATTTCAATAAGAAATACATTAAAATTACATAATAAAATCATATTAAATATATTCATTAATTAGTTACTTAAATAATATCATGAACATTAATATAATATTTACAAAATATATAATTTTTTAGAATTAAAATTTATAATTATATACATCTCTAAATTGTGTTCTTAAAAATTGTATCATCGATTACTTATAATATGTTTATATAATGAAAAAGTACGTTCAACGTCTACACTTATTATCGATACATACTTAAAAATGTTGGAGTTATATATAAGTTAAAATTTTGATTTTCTGTCATAACCTCAAAGTAAATTTTAAAAGTTATATATCCTTAATATTTTTCTAAGACGTATTTTAATTTATCTTTAACAATTTTCCCATTGGGACCTGGAATATTTATCGAAATATTTTCAATTTCACTTAATATGTTTAAACTATTAAGTAATTGAGTATTTCATTATTCTAAACTTGTGAGTTTTGTGGATAAATCTGATAAATATAGTTTTAAAAATGCTAAACTACATTTAACTATATGTAAAAATTTACTTCGTAGTTATATTTTTATTGTAAAATTACTTTAGACTATATTCTTTAGATATAACTCACAAGTATGAAATATTCTAATATTTATATATGTAGCATGGCTATTAACAAATTGCTTTTTTCGCGTATGTAATATATATCGAAACCCACTCTTATAATTTATACCACTTAATAAGTAAAGTTTATAAAACGTAATACTCAAGTATTGTAGAATATAAATATAAATATTACTATCTGTTACTTAGTATCTACATAATTTATACTTAAATTGATTTATTACACTCATTCAAAAATACCGACATTTGTAACGTCTTTTCAAAATAATTATAAATAATAGTAACATAGAATCGTAAAATAATAAAAATAATAAAATTTTAATTAATAAAATTAAGTGAGTAAATGAAATAGGTACACGTAACATTAATCTGGGTATCCGATTCACTCTTGTTAAGTATTGGAACCCCCCCCCCCACCGCATAAGCTTTACACTACGGTTTGAGAACCGCTGATTTACATGGTAAAACGATTAGTTGTTTTTAATATTTTATTGCTCTTTAATTATTCACAATTTATCGCAAATAACATTTAAATAATCAGTGTTTAATATACTTGTTATTTTGTTTTTTACTTCTTCATTTCTAATAGAATAAATTACATAAGTGTATATACACGTAATATTAAATAAAAATTATATAATCGTCATATTAAACACCGTTTTATGTATCACGAATAGGTATACAGAAATGATTCTAATATTATAAAATTAATGGGTTTCGTTAAGAATGGTGCCAAACTTTGTAAACCAATAAAGAGCGTATACCCTATCATATGAAAAAAAGTTAAGTATAGGTATGGATGGGTATTCAGAATAAACATTTTGGAATACCATTTACTAAATCACTTATAAATTAACTACAATTAACTTTACTAATAATTACGACAATTTAATAATAATGTCATAAATCTAACGTTGAAATAATGCTATTTAAATTTGATGCATACCTATATATTGTGGTAGCATCCCTCGTGTTCAATAATAAGTTTGCCCTACTTTGTAATTTTTAATATTTACACACTATATTATATAATAAACATATATAATTTGTAATTATCATTAGTACATTATTTTATAGAAATAATACACATCACATGTTTAATAATTAATGTAGAAATTAGAATCTAGTTCAATATTTAAATAATATAGTTTTTGTAACAGCTTTAGAATATATTAAAATGAGATTTAGGTAGAGTAATAAGTGTATTATATATATGTTGATAATTTTAATACATTAAAGCATTACTATTGTTTTATTATATTCCATTTATTTTCCAGCTAAGCGACCGTATGGAAAAATAAACTATTTTCATTTTAAATCACATTGTCAATTCCCAATTTTTTTATATTTAAGCGTTATAATACAAATATAATATATTATTCTTGAATACTTTATATTAAGTGTTTAACTGTCAAAAAAAAAATGTAAAACAGTATTAGGGAAAAATATTTTAACTATGACCTGACGTAAATCGTTTTTTAACTTTTTTTTTCAGTATTATTTAACCAAAGTATTATCATTATAAGATTGGGTGCTTCAGCTTATCTAGTGGAGAGTTATTTAAATCAATACATTATTTTATTTTACCGGATATTACAAAGTATACTGTTTTATTTTATGAAAAAACCGTTTGTCAAATACAAATAAATTGCACTAACTATTTACATTTTATGCATTTCGTTTTAGATTGGAGTTGTGTATTATACAGGGTTTAATATTTATTAATTATTAGTACATTTGAAACACAGCTATTGATATATGAAAAACGTGCAGCATTGCAGTTTAAAAATGAATATCATACTATTGATTTGAACCTATTTTTTTGTAAAGCAATTTTAAATTTATAATTCAAAAAAAAGATTGTATGTATATTTGGAATTATTAGTAGTTAATTTATATTATTTAAACAATGAAAAATTGCACGTTTAATATTGCACTAAAGTCACTGAAGTAATCTAAATAATTTACAAACAGGCTGTATACTCATATACATAGTGCATACGAGTAATTATAAAATATTATTGAATTTTAAGTATTAATAATGCCAAAAATAAAATGAACTATAATTCATATTGTCTGGAAAATTGAATAAGTAGTACCAGCTCATTAAAAAAATCGATAGTAATTTAATGGATATATTTCTGAAAACTTTAAATAAAAAGAAAAATGTAAAATAACGGAATATATACCTATTTCGTCAGAAAACTTTTTACTCATTATTAATAAGCGTAGTAATGCAAAAAAAGTTAATAAATATTAATTTTCGATTCAGGTAAAAACTAATTAGTTCTGTCAAAAGTTTGTTTACCCTTTTCTTTGACTGATGAAAAATCTATAAAAGGTACAATTTTATTAATTTATATCGAATTTACATGCTGTAATATATTTTAATGTATATTTCAAAAACAATTAGATTTAGATGATAGTATTGTATTTATTCAACATTTTATTTATAAAATAAACTCCGTGGATTGTTGAAATTGATAAAACATTTGTTTATGTTTAAATATACTGAAGTTGAGAGAAATCTAAAATAATTAACAACAGAATTTTGAGAGTATCAAAATTCTGTTGTTAATTATTTTAGATATTATTATGAAGATTGACATACCTAAACCTCGTTTTTTTTAAAAAATCTTCTTTTCTTTCTATGTTTCAAATATTAAACTCTACTTCCTTATAATAACCCTATTATTTAATTAATGTGATCCTTAAATGCGTTGAATAATAATTATGTTTGTACTTAAACATCACTTGGTTCTTATTGGTATATGATAAGGTATTGTTTATTATTTGTAACCGTGTGTGATTATTACGAAATTCCCTTAATGTTATTAGTCATCTCATTACAAATTATTACTTGTTTTTATCTATTTTTTTACTACTCTAAAATTTTAAATGATACTATTATTTTGCGAAAATCGTTCAGAATTGATCGGATAAAGTATTTGTATTCCAAATTATTATTGCCTGCACAGATTTGTCAAATGTTATCGTACCTGTTTATATTTGTTAGAAAAGCCATTTTTGCAGCTGTCTTGATTCACAGTGTAAGTTCCTGACGGCATGATCGTGAAAAGAATACTACCACTTTAATGTCGTAAAATTGATGAGAAATTGACTTTTCTTTGTAAAAAAAAAAAAAATATCTATTGTGACGACACAAAAGGAGCATAAAACACATACGTGACTATAGTAAACATTTTCGTCTAATAACGGTCGTGATGTGTGTTTACGTGGTAAAGAGATTTTACCCGACGAATGTTAAGGTTACATTAACCATAAATGAGTCGCATTGAGGACATAACATTGTATATCTAATCTATTTGGTTGTTTGGGAGAGGGCAATAAAGAGTCATATAGTACTCAAGAAAAAAATCAACCGACAACGTGCACATTTATGCGTGAGGGCACAGATCACAGAAATAATGTACCTATATTCAACGTTTAACTTATATATTATATAATGATGTATTAAAAACCAAGCTGTCATAGGTACACCATTGGTGTTGCAATCACGTTATAAGTGAACATTTATACACTAAATTTAACGGTTGTTGTGCGATTTCAGAATTTTTGTCTCATGACGACGATTATAATGTTAAGATAATTGATCCCGGGATTAGGTGACTGCAAGTTGCAAGCTGCAACCATGAAAAGAATGTTAGTAGTAATTGACAATATACATTTTTTATTCAACCCTAGAACATTGAAAGCACAGATATATAAAATGCTATACTAGCTACATAATTTCTATGTCAAATTTAATTTTTCTAATACAACACAATTTCATTCATAATATTATTACGGTTAATTTCTGTTCAACACATTAGTTATTGCACTTATTCGTACGAATTATAAATAATAATATTTTATAATAATAATAACTAAAAATGAGTTCAAATTTAATGTCATATAGTCATATAAGATATTAATCCACAGAATTACGAGAATATTGTATATTTTAATGCTTATTTTATTCATAGTCAATTGTTTTACAGCTAATATGTAGTATAACTTTGCGTTGGATTTTTTTGTCAGATAATTTGCATTAAACTTAAGCCACCTCAATCATTTTTAAATATTAAATAGGACCACCTGGGATTTTTGACAGTATTTAATTTTTTAATTTTTTTAACAAACTTTTTTCCATCCTAAATAAATAATAATTACCAAAAGCAGTTTAAACATTTTTTTTTATAATTCATAATCAAATAATATTATTTGTAAATGAGCCATGATAAGCCCATATAATTTATATAAAATGCATCAAATTGTATTGAAATTGAAATTTAATAAATAAAAATAACAAATATCATGGTTAGAATATATTCTTTATTATTTCTTTATTATGTTTTTTATTTCCCAGTAGTATTATAACGAAATAAACTTTCATTATTTACTCGATGATTGGTATCTATAGTGTATGATGGTGATGGTTATAAAGATATTAAATTTTTATATTCTATAGTATATATGTTATGCTTAAACAAATTATCATTTTACAGTAATACAATAAAAAAATAAATTTTAAGCTTGTACCAATAGTGATAATAACATAAAAAATAAAATTTAATCTAAAACTTAATCATGCATCATTAATAAACTAAAAAAAAAAAAAAAGGTAACCGAGTATTATGAATTGATAAATCATACGTTTGATGAAATGACCTGATGTTCTTAATGTCATTTTATGCGTAACAATAAACTGATAAGAACGAGATTAACAACTGACAAAATTATCAAGATTTGAATTAATATATACTACAACATAACTAATAACAATTGCAATTATTTTGACCATTTGTCAATCAATGGCATTCGATGATATTTTTCAACATAAATAATGAGATATACAACAAATTAAAAAATATGTATCTAAAAAATTAAAATGTCTGTTGAAAATCAAAAATTATTATTAAAGTTACCTAATAAAGTATTTATGTATAGATATGGTATCATCTACATTCAAATAGTGTTCTTATGAAATATAAATATTAACATGAATAAAATCTAATATTTTTGTTACATTTAGTAAATTTCTATTTCAGTATTTTATCAAGTCTTGCAATAAGAATAATATTTAGAAGTCGATATAGGATCTATCTTTCTTGAAAACTCTAAGTATTTAAATACAAATAGCTTTTTGACATTGTCTACAAACAAATCTTTCACCAAAAATTAGAACTAAATATTTGGAGGAATGAGAAATATTTCTTTTTTTTTAACAAATATATCTTTTAAAGTTTAAAATAGGCTATTTTTCTTAATATTATTCCCTGTGGCCATTTTTAAAGTAAATAGTCCGAAAAACCATATTTATACTAATTTATTAACTCTAAGATATCTATTAAAACGTTCACTTTTATTTAAGTATATTATGTATGCTGTCCTAAGTTATGAAGTCTCTTGTTCTTTAATTAAACTCCATGAAACATTTTATAATTTATAAAACAATATTTAATTTTTAAATGTAATAAGAATTATTACTTTCATAGACTTTACACAAAGTATGAATTGTACAGACTCTATGTTTTGTAGTTTTACATTTGAGAATGCAGAAAACTTATAATCATATTATAACCCTTACATCAATTTTCGTATTTCCTTCATTATTAAATTATAAATCGTTTTAAATCCTTACGTAATATTTTTATACTGATATTTTGTTATGGATTACCTAAAGTAGGCAGGTTTATCAATTTATTTCGTAATAATGATTTTGTAGTTTTATAGATTAATATTTTGTAATCGTTTTAACTGCTATATTTTTGTCTGTTAATCATATTTTTATTATGACCAAGAATAATTTTTTTAGAAATAAATATAATAGTAAGTTTTCACTAAATTATATTATAGAACCCTACAAACGAGATAACATAGTAGTATAATATGAACGCATGTTTAATATTTATTTACATTTAAATAATTGTACTGAAAATTGAAAGTTGTTTGAAACAAGCTCAATAATTATAAATTATTTTGTTTTGAATAATAATATCCATACGAGTATATGGTACATGAGTTTCAAAAAAATTAAAAACACTATATATTTTATAAGAACGAAGTGAAAAATCTTTCTTGTTGGTATGATACACAGAGTTTAGAGACTCTTTTAGAAGCAAAAGTACGTTTATTATTTCACATTACCTACTAATTTCCAAATTATAACAAACATTTAAAATTACAAACGATATTTACTACCTCTGTGTATGTACGTGTTTTGTACTTCAATAAGTTGCTGTTAATCAATTTTATTGCTAAAAATACATTTGTCGAAAATATAGTATCTTAATTTTGAGTTGAATACTATTTATTATTTAAGCCTGACTGTCAAATATTTGGTTGAGATTGGTTACGCCAATATGTCATAACGTAAGGATGTAAATTTTATTTTTCGGAGCCTCCATCGGGGTTCCATTAATTTTAGGGGCCCAGTGTTCGTGCCTCGCGTGTCCATAGGATAAAAACAACACTGCACACAATTCCATGTTGGTCACCGTTTTTATGTACGATTTTATTTTTATGCCTACAATTTTCAACTTTTAAAACTTTTTCATTATATAAGACTACATTTTTGTATTCATTATTTGTAAATATATCTAAAACATACTACCTAATATTAAGTTTTTCTTTCAATTGCTATTTAACGTCAACTAGAATATAATTAATTGGGACATTTTTATTAATTAAACCAAAAATCTAAATTTCGTATAATTAATTATTAGTTAAATTACAAATAAAATTCATGAACAGTATAATTGAACCTATGCCTCTATATTGTATTTGTACGCACTGTATAATATGTAGGCTGTATCGTTTATACTTGTCTGATTGTGTTATATTAGTCGACCGTTAGCATGATGAATTTTGTTCAGTTAGCTAGTTAAGTGAATCTCTATATTTTCTTACCGTAAACTAAATCGAATTATTCCAACAGAAATAGCTGCGAATATTTTTAAATTATTTCGGGAGTACTTACGAACAGTTTCTGGCATTCGTGTTTAACATATCTGCAGTGTATTTAATATTATTTAAATCGAACAAGTATTTTGCTACATTTAGTTATTCAACATTTGTTATATACTACAAAATTAAGAGATAATTTTCTCAATAATTAATAATAATTAAGATGTTATATTTTGTGTTTGTAGTTATCTAATAGTTTTTAATTATTAATACCTACTGTTTTCCAATATAACATTTAATAAGCATATTTGGTTTTTTAGTAAGTATATTGAGTTACGTATATTTTTGCACATTTGTTAATTTTTCAAAACACATATAAAAATACAAACGCAGATCCATTGAAAAATAATAATCTTATAAGTAGTTATATTTGTACGACTGAAATGTGTTTTAGTGATAAGAATTCTTTGAATAAAATAAAACGGAGGGGATAAATTCACGTACATAAAGTTGGCCCATCTAAATATTGTAATTTTTTTTAATTCTGTACCATTATTTTTCATGTTTTTTTGCAAGCATTTATAAGTCTATTTTTAGAATTTGCTCTCATTCGGTTGGCCGTTATAAACTTTTGAACTTGTAAAATTGGGCCACCCAATAAATAAAATTATTAACATTATTATTTATTATTCTAATATATACATTATTATATAGGAATGTATATTATTTTCCGATGTCATCATATTTATTTTTTGGGAAATATCATTATAAAGCTCCTAAACGTTTTTTCGAAATTCTTCGCATTTATATTTTGTAATGTCCCGCAACGAAATTAACAATAGCTACCAATATGATACCTATGAAACATAAGTAGTCCATATTTAAAAAGATTTTCATATAAACTAAAATTGATGACCAATTATGAAATTCTCGATTGAAAAAGTTGTGCTGACATTCTCAGCTAGCTTTGTAAATTGTAAATATTTGCTACTACCTGAATTACCCGGTTTCATGCGGAACAGTCTTGTCCGGGACGTGAATCTTAATGAATTATCAACTTACACTATCTTAAGTCTAGTTTGGTGTAACTATTGGTTATAAAACAGATAAAATGAAATTTTAAATGAATTGGAATGGTAGTTAAGGTTGTACGCTAAATTACCTTTCAGTCTTTGGCGGTTCCAATGTTTTTTTAAAATTCCTCCTTATTACATGTCTAGATTATTAGAGAGGCTACTATTTTAGTATATAGTGGCATAATATTGAATTTCAAGTTAGTACATTTAGTCGTTTTCGGATGTAGCAATGATCAATGAGTAGTCATTGATTTGCATTATTTTAAAATAGATTTTTATTTGTGTACACC